AAAAAAAAAAAAAAAAAAGAGGGTAACTATTCTGGAAGGCCCCTACATTAAGCGTCAAGGGTCGGAGGGCGTGATTTTCACTTGAGGTTCGGAACCTTAAAGCCTAAACCTGTGGTGTGGCGTTTTGAGGTTTCGGGTTCAGCACTCTCGGAGGTCCCGAGCCTCACACTTAATGTAGGGGCACTTAAATAGTTACCAATTTAGGGTTTAGGGTTTACGATTTTGGGGTTCCGTATTGTAATTATTGTATAAGGGGCCCCAAAACCCTGTTCTAATTATTAGGCCCCTAAACCCTAAACCGTTATAGCAACCCTTATAGAACCCTTTAAAGGAACCCCCCCCAAACCCTAGTCTAATTATTAAGGATCCCATATTATATACGTTGTGTTGAAGTAATGTCTCTGAAGCTCCAAGCTCTTTACCCCGAACTTTAAACCACAGCCCTGGACTCTTGCAGTAAAACTCTCATGTTGCAGAAGGGAAGACGTACCGGAACCGGACAGCAACCATCAAGAAGGGTCCGGCTGGCCCCAGGACCCAAACAGGCATAATGTAGGCGCCTAAATAATTACCAATACTATTCTTGGGGGTTCCTTATTATGAGTATAGTATAACGGGCGCCACGACCCTATTCCAATTATGAAGGCACCTATATTAATGAGTACAAGGCTGGGGCTTTGGGTTTCCTGTTTAGGCAAACCCTATACCCTACGTGAAACTCACACAGAATCCTGACAACATCCTATTATTACCCCTAAACCCTAAACTCTAAACCCTAAACCCTAATAATTATGGAGCCCTTCTAGGCTTCAGCAAATTCCGAACACCCAACATGGGCCCCAGGGGCAGCGATACTTTTGCCGGCCGTCCAAGCCGAAGGAGAGCGCTCGAAAGCGCCACATGAGGCCAGAGGGTTTGGGTTTAGGGTTTAGGGTTTAGGGTTTAGGGTTCTCACGGGTACTTTCGCGACATTGTAACGTTGTTTTCTGTACTTGTCGATCGTTCTACAAGGGTTGTGTAGGGTTTTGGGAGTCTTCGCCGAGGTGCACTGCAATTGAGGCCGCGATGGAAAGGAGCCTTTACGATCAAGGGTTTCGGAGTGGGGGGGTTCTGGGTTTGTGGTTTACGTTTTGGGGTGTGCGAGCGCGCGTGTGTGTGTGTGTCTCATAAATTCAGCTCCGCTGTTTCTGCATGGCCGATTGTGCACACCGATGCTGTCAGTAGCATGTTTTGTAATATAGAGGTCGAAGCAATCATGAGTGTACTCCTTGCTAGTCCCTATAAAGTAGCCCTTTTCCTAATGGCTAAGGCCCCTATATGGGTAGTTCTCTAAATTAGGGTCCCGTTTTAGGTCCCCATTATAGTACGGCACCCTTATAAAAAGGACCCCAAAATTAGGGACCCTAATTTAGGGAACTACCCATGTAGAACCCTTTGAGACCCTATAGAAACACTTACAGATCCATTTAAGGACGTAAAAGGAACCCTAATTTAGAGAAGTACCCATATAGAACCGACCGTTTGCCTTGCTAACCCTAAACCCTAAACCCTAAACCTTAAACCCTAAACCGTAAACCCTACACCCTAAACCGGGGCAGAGCCGGGAGGCGCACTCAGGGCATGGCTCCTGCCGAGCCTGACGATGAAGATGAGGCCTGGATCGGTATAGAATGGTCTAGGGCTTCTGGTTTAGGATTTAGGATTTAGGATTTAGGGTTTAGGGTTTAGGCTTTAGGCTTTAGGCTTTAGGATTTAGGGTTTAGGGTTTAGGGTTTAGGTGATGGCGAGGAAGAGGAAGATGATGATAATGTGATTGCGGATGATGATGAGCATGAGGAAGATGAAGATTAACATGGCCATGATAGTGCTTGTGGTGCAGAGGATGGTGATGATGATGGTTGTGATGATGGTGGCGATGATGGTGATGGTGATGCTGATGCTGATGCTCGGAGTTTGCTTGTTTCTTGCAGTTTTTGTTCGTCCTCGTCGACGTAGTATTAGCAGCAGCAGCAGCAGCCGTCGCCGTCTTCGCCGCGACAGCCGTGGTAGTGGTAGTGCAAAAGACAGTGATGTCAATGGTCATGGCACCTGCAGTAGTAGAAGGAACAGCAGGAGTAAGAGTAGGAGCTCTAGCAGAAGTATGTCCGAAAGAGACTGCACAGATGGGATCAGCAACAACAGTAACCGCAATGACGACACAGTAAGCTGAGAAGCATGGCGCGAACTGCCAGTCTTGTGATCATGAGAACCATAGGAGCAACAAGCAGAAGAGCGTCTAGCATAGCCACACCAAGATGAGCAATCAAGATGAGCATTATGGCAAGCCTTGGTGGCGATGACCATTATGATGACACTGCGGATGGTGGCGGTGGTCATGGTGATGTTGAAGCCTTAGACCCTGAACCCTACACCTAAATCCGAAATTCAAGCCCCGAGGCCCAGGGCCTACACCCTAACTCCCAAAACAACAGGAGGCGGATGTAGAGAAGCCGATGATGCCTTGGGAGCAGCGTGCCCAGGCCAGCCTCTTCGGGATGTAGGGTTTAGGGTTTGGGGTGTCTCAGGCATCGAAGGCCGGAAACACTTACTACCCTAAGCCCCTAAACTGCCGAGAGCGCCGCTGACCATTTGCATGGGCGCTCGAGGCTCTGACCGAGGCCCCCGGCCGAGCGTCTCGTCAGAACGGGCAAAGCCTCCCGACGAGGGGGGACGGAAATGATTCGGCTATGCCTCACACACTACCGGCATCAGCCCAGCATAATTATGACCCCAAGCCCACCATTTCCTACTGACGGCCTTTTGGCTGGTGGCTTGCCCAATTTTTTTGAGGGTCTGGAGCAGATTCTTGACCGGGTTTTTTGGGCGGGTCCTACATGTAGTAGGGAGCGACCTCTTGGGTTTGGGGGCTGCTTCTTGCGGGTTTTCGGGGGCGACTTTGGTACCAGGGCAGGTGACTACACTTCGAGCAACCCTTACAGGGTGCGAGGGGCGGGTTGTTTGTTGGAAACCCCGAGGACCCACAACCCGACACCAATCCATCTCAGCTGTGGTTTGCTGTGAAATGTGGTCGTTTATGTGTCGAACTGTGAGGTGAAGCAAAGAGCAAGAAAACCCCCCTCGAGGTTGCCACGCAGCCCCAACCCCAAAGCCTTGTCGTATGACCTCCTTCAAACTTGGCACGCGACACTTCAGATCATGCATCCTAATTCATACCAAGACTGGATGGGTATCGCAGACCCTAAACCTGGTGCCCTTCAACTGGTATGCCCCAACTCCCAATCACTGAACCCTAGCCGGTGCCTGAACCCCAAGCCCTAATCCCCCAAGTCCCAGTCCCCGTTGAGCCAGGAGTCGTCACGACCCGGCAGAAGTCCTTTCAAGCCCTGTTTAGGCTTAGGGTTTAGGGTCATAGCGCTTTTTTTCAGGGAATAAGTAGCGTTGTAACATGGGAGTTCGATAAAAGAATGCAGAGACTAGCACCCCCATCTTTGGCACCCAACCCTAACCCTAAACCTAAACCCTACTAAACCGAAGCCTGCACCTGAACCCAAAAGCCCTGGCCCTAAACCCGTGACAACCGCATCCACTAAAGTCTACTCATTGAGCCCTAAGCCCTGAACAACGCCAAGGGCTAAGCGGCCCTAATCAGCCCTAAACCCTCCTAAGCAGCCCTTATCAGCCTTAAGTCCTTGAAGCCAAACCATGTAAAATACAGTAACAGCCCATACATCGAGATCAGACAGCCCGACACCCTGAACCCTACACCCTAGACCCCAAACCCGACACCTTAACCCCTTAACCCCTAAAGGCCCTAAACTCTAAACCCTAGACCCCAAACCCTAAACCCTTAGCCTTAAACCCTAGACCCTAGACTTCAAACCCTTAGCCCCTTAACCCTAAACCCTTAAACCCTTAAGCCCTAAACCCTAAACCCTTAAACCCTCAAACCCTTAACCCCAAACCCCGAAGCCTAACCCCTCAACCCTCAAACCGCTAAACCCGAAACCCTTAACCCTCAAACCCTCAAACCCGAAACCCTCAACCCAGAGGCCCCAAACCCCCAACCCTAACCCCTCAACCCTTAGCCCCCAAACCCTAAACCCATAAACCCGACACCCTAAGCCCTAAATACACCCTAAACCCTTAAACCCTGAGGCCCAAACCCCAAACCCTAACCCCTCAACTCCAGAGCATCGGCTGCTGCAGGCTAGTCGTCCGATCTCCTCCTCTGGCTTCCAGGCTTCTCCCCGGGATGGCTCCGGCTTTGTGTGTAAAGTCGTCGCGTTGTTTGTGTTTCTTAAGGGTTTTTGGGTTTGGGGTGTTAGGGTTTTAGGGTTTAGGGGATCTAAGGGTTTTAGGGGGTCTAAGGGTGTAGGGTTTTAGGGGATCTAAGGGTTTAGGGTTTTAGGGATGTGCGCGCTTAAGTTTCGGAATTTTTGATCGCGCCAGCGACAACAAAAAAGCATAGAACAGGCCGCCAGGATCGGAAGTCAAT